GCAAATAATCATTGGAACGATCCTGCAAGCTCAACACCCTGGCAGCTTCCCACTGAAAACTAAGTGCTTTTGGAGAAGAGCTTGGTGTTCCAAGTAGTTTGGCATACACCCCACTCCCGTGCAGCCCTTTCCACCCAGAAGTCTGTCCTGGGCTCCCACAGCAGGCTTCGGGGAATCCTGAGAGCACACATCATGGCTAAGACAGATGACACATTGCCAGGCCAGACCCAGGAGCCGCTTGACCCTGAGAACATCCAGGGAGGCCGAGGAACACCTGGAAGGCTCTGCGTGGTGAGCAGCTCAGGACTCCAGCGCTCACTTCTGCTCCCTCCAGATTCTTAAGCAAGTCATGCTTCTCAACTCCGATCACAAGACGGGGGGACAGATGTCTCCAGGACATACTTAAGACTGCCAGTTCGTCCTGCGAAGAGTCTTGAGAAAAGATACCATCAGTATGAATCAAAAGTATGACTGTGGGACTACCTGACTTGCAAAGGGACCACCGTGACTTCTTGGTCAGTTCGTGGAGTTTGATTCCTTCACCCACTCAACCAACATTGGTGATTAGTGCCCAGAAATATGCTAAGTATTTAGAGAGTACAGAGACTAAAAATATAAATGGTGCCTGACCTTGGGAAGCTTTTAACGGCAGATAGACTAACAAACTGGTCATAACATGGGGGATCAGCACTAGCAACAAGGCACAAGGCACACAGAGCCCAGGGCACGGCCGTGTGCAGAGAAGAGGCTTGTGGGCAGAGGGTGTCAGAGAAGGTTCCCCAGGGAGAAGCAGCCCCAAGCTGGGTCTTACAGATGCTCCGAAAATGGTGTGGTTTATCTTATTTATTTAAGAAAGAGAGAGAAAATGCACATGAGCCGGGGCAGGGGGGAGGGGGGCAGAGGAAGAAGCAAGCTCCCCGCTGAGCAGGGAGCCCGACATGGGACTCGATCCCAGGACCCTGGGATCATGACCTGAGCTGGAGGCAGACGCTTAACCAACTGAGCCACCCGGGTGCCCCTGAAAACCGCATGGTTTTAACTTAATTCTCACCACACATCAGAACCACCTGAGCCCATTCCCGACTAATTAAATAAGAACCTTTGAAGCTCAGGCCCAGGCCAGGTGTTTTCTAAAAGCTCCCAGGTGGTTCGAATGTGCGGCCAGGGCTGCGATCCACTGTCCTTCTAGCTGGTGGGAGAGGCAAGTGGTGTGTCCCTGACTAGTTGCATTCCCAGGTTAGCGTGGCACCAACACACAATTCAAGCCAAACCAACCAACAAGATGTAATTCATATTCATTGCAATGAACTAGAAATAGACACAGTAATGAAAGCAAGACCCAGGAAAATTCAGCGATGGATGATTTATGTGGGGAAATATGGCAGAAATCACACGGGTCCAGAAACGTGAGCCCCTTCGTTTGGAGCGGATGCGTCGCAGAGTAGAGGTACTTCGGAGTTAACCCTGACCTGAGCCTTACATTAGGAATCAAGGCAGTACCGGAAGCCCTGACCTATCTCCATACACACCCCCAGCCCCCCGCTCTCTGCCCCAAGGGGAGAAGTGACAGTCACACACACGCCTCAACGAGACGCCTGGTGTTTCGCGGGAGGACAGTGAGGAAGGAATGAAGAAAGGGGCGTGATAAAGTATAGTAAGACGTTAAGAGAAGACTGCAGGTAACGCAGCATAGTCCTCTACTTTCTACCGTGCACCTTTAGGAAAATGGACTTTGTCAGCCGGGGGGCTGGCCGTGGCTGACGTGTTCAGAGCTCTGATCCTGTGGCGAGGGCCCCGGCTGCAGTGCCTGAGGAAGAGCAGGACGACTGTGCGGGGAGGATCCGGAAGAGCCGGGTCCTCAGGCCTCGGCGGGGAGCTCCCTCCCAGGCAGGTGTCAGTGACACGCGGGCCACCTGGCCCACGCCTAGACGCTAACGGGCCCCAGAGCGGTATTTCCCACCCTGCCCCCCGCTCTGCCTGCCTTGAACCCAGTGTGTACGGTGAACCCTGGTGGCTGGGAGCTGGTTAGCCCGCTGCTCTTCTCAGCAGAGTCCCTGGCTACGGAGCACCTGCTTGCCCACCTTAACCCCTGCACTAGGCCTCCCCCATCTCTGGTCAGCGTGAACCTTACCTTCTTGGGGCTTGGCGTCTGCCTTGCAGTGTTCTCGTCGTGGGACATGTCCTAGCAGAGGGTCAAAATGCCCCCTCAGTGACATAAACTCAGAATCAGAGGCCCCGAATGAGAACACTGGATAAGCCTCACTTGGTCCTTACTACTTGCAGTGAAGACCGGCGCAGCATTCTCGGATCCGGAGCGCAGTACCACCGACACGAACGAGCCCACTCCGCTTCCCTCACGTAAGTCACAAGCAAGAGAGCGAGCGAGCAATGTCAGCCAACGCGCACATCCTCCAGGTCTGCAGGCTTCCACCCAAGCGGGTGTGCGGCATCAGCTGCTATTCCATGGCCAGCTACACGCAGTACAGACAGTCTCCCAGGCCCGTCCCTGGGGTCTCGAGCCCAGAGTCAGCCGGGTTGCCTGACAGTAAGCGTGGTATTAACTGCCACTTATGAAGTGTGTCCGGCCTTCAGAGGCTGACCTAACGCGTGACAAACGTTACCTCATTCCATCCTCACACCACCCACGGGCTCGGGATCATCATTACCTCCTTTTGCAGGCGATGAAGCTGAGGCCGGAGGACGTAAAGTGACTTCCTGAGGTCCCACGTGGAGAGTCGACCCCCCAGCCGCCGCGCCCCATCTCGAGGGACCCCGTCCCTAAGCACGATTCCTCTGTCGGAAGCATAGGCGCCTGACTTGGACCAGGAGGCTGGCTTCTAGCCCTCCCTCTCCTGCTTGCTTGGCCCCGTGTGGGGTGCTCCCTCGGGGTAAAATGAGGCTCGTCCTCCCACCCTGCCTGGGTCGCCAAGTGACCATAGCAACTGCGTGAGACAGAACAGCTCTGGGGGCAGCACCAGGTCCGTCTTGCATCCCCGGCCTGTGTGCTCGATTAATGTTTATTGAAGTAATAGTGCATCCAGAGTGCTCGGAAGCTGAGCATCGTCGGTGCGGACCTCCCAGCTGCAGAGGGCGCTGCAGTCGGCGGCCACCTCTGGGAGGCCCCCCAACCCCCCTGCTCCTGCAGCCTCCCCAACAGCGTGTGCATTCATTTCCAACGTGCCCCGACCCCGGCCTCCAAACCCCCCCGCCGGCCTACAAGCGGCGACAGAGGGCCATCATCATATCCAGCAGCCGCTCGTCACATCAGCCCTTTCAAAGCCACCAGCGTCCCCATGACCAGCAGTCGTGACCTCTTCACTGGGGTATCAGTAATGACCTGCCAGGATTTCTCCTTTGCAAACATTCGCTCCGAAACAGAAAACCAAGAACACACCTCCCATCAGACAGAAGCGCCCTTGCAGCTGAGCCACCAAATGCCAATCCAGGGAGACGAGTAAACTCCAGTAGGGCCAACACGAGCCCCACCCCAGCCTAGCAAAAGCTCGGGTCCGACTTCATGCATCCTGGTTTATGGACAGCTCAGCTAATAAGCTCCCAGCCTGTCGCCCCTGCACACCCCATGGGCTAACGCCCTGAGAACCAGGCATCCCTCCACAGCAGCTCAGGTCCGTGGGGTCGGTGGGGTCCGTGGGGATCGCTCTCCATCGGCTCAGGAGAGCTGAGAGGATTGAGGGAAGTAGCTGAGATGCACACACATGAAGCCTGTCCCAGATCTGCCCATCACAACAGACAGGGGCCACAGCTCCGGGCCTCACGTGGAATTCTGCCCTGGAAACAAGCCAGGCCGGGGGAGTGGACAGAGCCATCAGATTGCACACCTGTGGCTCCTAAAAAAAACCCAGAGGGGTCCCAGGACGGCACTGCGAGGACAGGACATGTCATCGTAACCCTGTGGAGGGACAGAACCAGCGGGGATGATGTGGTGGCGGCAGAGGGTGCCGTGAGGCCCCCCGTCTACACGGTCATGCCCTGCCTGTGGCAGGCACCACACGGCCCATCAGCTTCTGCTGTGCAGGACCACGCTGCCATCCACACGCCCCGGGATGGCTGTCGCGACACGGGGGGGTGGGCCCCACTGTCTGGGGTGGGGGGAGGCTTTGCACCCACCCAACCCAAAAGGCAGAAAGCCCAGGACTCTTCCTGGCAGCCCTGTGTCTGTGAGGTGTAAGAATTTGCCGTCTGTGGCACTGAGCTGAGCCCTGAAAAGCAGCAGTGAAGGTCACCGTCTCGTGGAAAAGCCCACGGACGTGGCCACATGGCAGCAGGGTTTGTAGTTGAATATGAAGCTGGAAAGGTAAACCAAGGTTGGGCTGTGAAGGCTCAATATGCCGACCCAAACTGCCTGCACTCTATCTCTACGTTTGTGATCTCTAGATTTGGGGGCAGTAAAAGATGACCCAGAAGGTGAAGGAGGAAAATATTAAAACTTCCATATCCAGGTAGCCCCCGCTTTTTGGAAGTTCACCTTAAGCCACTTTGCTGTTGCTGAAGACCTGCATTAGTACCTGTTCTTGCTAACTGAAGGACATCCGAAGAGGATTTTCACTTTGACGAAAAAAAAAGTGAAAAGCGAAAATCGCATTCAGCATCCCCGTTTTGCAGCGAGATGCTATGGGGTAGCACCCGGAGCGGCGAGACGGGCCCCCCCAGCTCCTTCCCTGGGACCCACACTCAGCATCTCAGCATCAGGCCGCCAGAGCTGTGGACTGCGTCTCTGAGCATCAATTTGTCTTGTGCATCCATTAGCAAGATGTGACCTAAGATGTGTCAGAAAAGCCTAAGGCAGATTATTTTTCGGGTCTGGGAATACTAAAAAAATCTTCCCTATAAATCGATACTAACTGCTTCTTCTCTACGCCATTTTGGCTTATGGAAGTTTTCACACTCCACTTCCTGACCCGCTGCAGTCATTTTTATATAATTAAATACAAAATAAATCAAGCTCCTTCAATATTCACTCTAAGCAATGCCTTTCACACCTTCACCTGGTGCACGCATCAGCGATCGGTCATCAAGGCGTTGAGGGATCAGACCCCGGGTGACAGCGGTGACTTCATCCCTGGGCTCTCCATCCACACAGCGTGACCTACAACAGACAAGCTTCGGTAAGTGGAATTACAGAGCAGATCTAGTTGTTCACTAAACTAACCATCCGATAAATGGGCAAGAGGCTTAAAATTTTTTCTAAAAAAGGAACTGTGGATTATATAATAAGAGAAGACAAAGTGAACAAGAAGAGCAGTCGTGGTGAGCGCTCAGTCAGCCACATCGTCAGGGAAACAGTGATAATATAATCAGCTTTCACACGTCAGCCGAACAGTTGCCAAATTATCAAGACTACCTGAAATGCATCCTTACATTCAGTGTTGGGAACGAGAAACCGAATCCAAGCCATCAACGTGCCTCAGGTATTAGCTGACAACGGCAATTAACAAGACGTCTAAAAGTACTGTTTACGTGATCTTCACCTTGTCTTTTCTGAATTTTTATGCATTCTTCAAAATGAGCATAACATACTGGCACCGTAACATGCGTATAAAATTACAGACGATTGAGCACACATCTGCTGACGCCCACACTCAACACCCCCACCGCCCGCCGCGGGCAATCAAAGGTGGGGAGCTGGCCCAGGTCCCCATCTGGGCCCTGCACTTCCCGAGACTCCGCCACAAGAGGAAAACCCTTCCGGAGGGAGGCTGAGCACTGCCTCCTTCACGGCTGTGTCTGAGACCACCCCAACCCCGACGCCCTCCAGGCTGGACCAGACTCTTCCTGGCCACGGCCACCGGCCAAGGAGGAAACACGCCCAGCTGAATTCCGCGCTGCACCTCAGGGTTGTGGGCCGAGTCACACCAATCCCACACATGCGAGGTAAAGAAGGCGCCCTAGATGCTCTGGTGGCAACATCAACTCGGCCTCACAGTGTGTATTTGGAGAATGCTGATTTTCCATACATGCTCGTGGCTTTCTTTGCAAATCAATCTGTGTACATTTTTTACCAGTGGTCGTTAACATACTGAGCCGATCACGTAGCAGGAATGCAGATTAGTGTGTCAAAAGCAGGTGAGACAGGAGGTGAAGGGCTGTGGATTGGGAGGCCCTGGGCCGGATGGCTTCCCGCAGTGCCCAGCCAGAGACTCCACGGGCCCCTGTTCTCTGCGGGTACAAACCGGCACGGCGTGAGGCGCTCACAGAACCACGGGATCTGCACCAGCACCGTGTCCTGTCCGTGTGGCCTGAACAACAATCACGGATTTCTTTGGGTCCTCGCGTGGCGGGGGCAGGGCAGGAGCGGTGAGGGAGCTCTCCGGGGCCCCTTTTACTGGGGCACTGACCCCCCTCGTGGCAGCTCCACCCTCATGACCGATCGCCTCCCCGAGGCCCACCTCCTAACACCCGCACCCTGGTTACGGTTGAGCACGTCAGTTTGGGCCACGCACCTGGTCTGTGGCTCCCGATTGAAGACGACCAAACTCACGCCGAGGGATGCTGACTACGGGGCTGTGGGGGGACAGCCGCACCACCTGGCGGCCGGACCCTGACCTCCGCCCTGCCTGGGCACCCCGACAGCCTCGGGCAGCTTTTGGTGTAGGCTTATAGGAGGAGGGGGTGCGGCTGGTCTGTTCGACCACGAGCTGGGAATCCAACTGTGACCGAGGAAAGGACCAAATCCCCGGAAAGAGAGTGAGGAGCAGACGAAGGAAAACGTGAGCGCGAGGCCCCATGGCTGGGCCAGGCTCGGCGTCCCGGCACAACTGTGCGGGTTTGGCGCCCCCTGCTGTACCCTTCCTGCCTGTGTCTGTGTCCTGCGTCCCTGTCCCGTGACTTCTTCCCTGTGTCCCCCTTGTCCCGGCTCCTGTATTTCCCATGTCCTGCCAGAGACAGATGTCCGACCATGGTGCCGGTGAGGGGGGGTCTGCAAAACGAGCATTTAGCCATGGAGGGCACAATATTGCAAAAATGCACCTGAATCATCAGCCATGTCGAATCTGATTTAAGAGCATCAAGAGCAATAAGGTGTCGGGCTGGGGCATTTCGATCATTTCTTCAAGAAACAACTAATTAGCTTCTACACTGAGCCAGGAGGCATTGTCAATGTACAGAGGGTATTTAATACAGGCTGGGGCAGGCTCCCTACTCTCAAAGTCTTTCCACCCAGGGAAAAAGGGGGGAAAATGGTTGAATCATATCAGTTCCTTTATTGACCTAACCACTTAAGCATTATCTCCAATGTCAACAACAATGCTGTAGACTAATCAATTCCAGGTTACAGACGGGGAAACTGAGGCTCGGAGGCCAGAGGATCCAGGCCAGAGGTGGCGAGGCAGGTCTCAAGCCCTGGTCCGCCTGACTCCAAACTCCATGCTCTGTGCACCCACATCCTTCTGTGGCTGGTTCTTTTGTATGCAGGGGGAACAGAAGCCACCCGCGGCCACACGCGGGCACACATCTGTGACAGTGTCACCTCGGCAGCTACAGGAACGTAAGGGCGGGATGGGGTGCATACAAATGTTTTATTTCCTCTACTTTAAAAACAAAGTTTTGGGGCACCCAGGTGGCTCAGTTGGTTAGCACCTGCCTTCGGCTTAGGTCATGATCCCAGGGTCCTGGGATCAAGCCCCGCATCGGGCTCCCTGCTCCGCGGGGAGCCTGCTTCTCCCTCTGCCACTCCCCCTGCTTGTGCTCGCTCACTCTCTCAAATAAATAAAATCTTTTTTAAAAATAAAAAATAAATTTTAAAAAAACCAAAGTTTTAAAGCCACATATAACTCATGGTGCATTGCAAAATAAAAATATTTTTAAGTGCTAATAAAGGTTGTTAATGGTAGAAAAAAGTCAATATTTGTTCATTCTGGTTGGTGGGTACACGGCTGTTCAGCTCCATATTCTCCATACAGCTCCATATTTTAAAAAATTTTCCCTAGGGGTGCCTGGGTGGCTCAGTCGGTTAAGCATCTGCCTTCGGCTCAGGTCATGACCCCAGGGACCTGGGATTGAGCCCCGCATCGGGCTCCCTGCTCGGCGGGGAGCCTGCTTCTCCCTCTCTCTCTGCCTGCCACTCTGCCTACTTGTGTTCTCTCTCTCTCTGTCAAATAAATAAATAAAATCTTAAAAAAAAAAAAATTCCCTAAATAATATTTTTAAAGAAGAAGGAAAAGAAACTGAAAGGAAGGAAGTATCCTCCAAGGATCTGAATATGAAATCATGGAACCAGTCCACCCGCTGAGCGATTACGCATGAGTGTGACTATGAAAACACAGGTTCAGTCCTCACAGAGAAAATCCAGCTATTTATACGGCGTTTTCACCTGGGGACCTCTGAGCACGTCACCAACAGGAATTAATTGCCCCTCCTGTCACCTCCTGAAACAGGAGTGCTTCACAGATTGTTAAATCACGTCTGGGGAGAAGGATGGGTCTGGTCTGACAGCACAGCGTGGATTGGGACTGGAGGCCCCGGGTAGGACGGCAGCTGTGACCGTGACCGTGTCCCCGCCTGCCGTGCTGAGATGTGCCACACCTTTAACGGGCAGTTCCTGCAGAGGACAGCCTCCTGTCTTCACAAGAAGCCCCATCTGAAAATATCCTTCCACATATAAATAGAGATCTTTTAGGGGCGCCTGGGTGGCTCAGTCGGTTAAGCGGCTGCCTTCGGCTCAGGTCATGATCCCAGGGTCCTGGGATCGAGCCCCGCATC